GTTTCTCTCTTTCTCTCTCTGTCTCACTCTCTCTTTCTCTGTGTGTGTCTCTCTCTCTCTCTCTCTCTCTCTCCTCTTTCTCTTTGTCTATGTATCTCTTTATGTATTCAGTGCTTTTTATATGTATTTCTGTATGTCTTTATTATCTCTCTTTCTCTCTCTGTCTCTCTCCTCTTTCTCTTTCTCTTGTTTTGTTGTTTTTCTCTCTCTCTCTCTCTCTTTCTCTCTCTCCCTCTCTCTCTCTCTCTTTAAAAACAACTCTCTCTCTCTATATTTCTCTCTTTCTCTCTCTGTTTCCTCTCTCTTTCTCTCTCTCTCTCTCTTTTGTTGTTCTCTCTCTATCTCTGTTCTAATATCTCTCTCTCTCTCTCTCTCTCTCTCTCCTCTCCCCCCCCGTCCCCCTCCCGCTGCTTCGGCGGCGCCTGGCTGGCGAGAACCAGAGGTAGCACCCGGCGCGCCGCGCGGCAACTCGGCCCCCCGCGCAACTACCTCCGCGACGGTGACCCTGCCCAGCAGAGGCAAGCGCGGGCAAGGATCTCGGCCGACCCGCCCCCGCTGCGCCGCCGGCGCAAAGGGGCGGGGGGGGGGCCTGGGCTGAGCCCAAGAGCGAGCGGCCGAACAATTGGAGAGACCCCCCGCCGCGCGCGCGGCGCTGCGGGCCCATGGAAGTGGGAGCTCAACCCCGCGACCTGCAGGCCGCCCTCGCTCGAGACGAACTTCCGCAGCCCTCCCCAGACCGCCGTCAGAAGGCCGTCGAGAAAACCCGTTCGAGGCATGCGCCGACCCCGCCACGGGCGCTTGGTGAACTTTCGCGAGCACTGGCGGGGCGTGCTCGCGCCCGGCCCACCGCCCCCTCGCCGGGCCAGGGTTCGGCGTGCACTGCGGGCCAGAACACTGGCTGCACCAGTCTGCCCGAGTACGCGGTCTGGCGCAATCGACGCCACGTGTCGAGACCATGGCGCTGCTCCATCTCGCCGCCACGGCAGAGGGGCCCGTCCATCTCTTCGTCGATGACCAAGCCTTTGTCGACGGACTCGGGACTCTCCTCGAAGGTAAGCGCCCCGCAAACCAAGGGCTCGCAAGCCGACCTCTGGCAAAGAATTCGCCTGGTGGTCCAAGCCAAAACTTGGCGCGTTCTAGCGGGCCCACTCGGGGAGCAAGGGATTGAGGACGGCCGCATCTCACCAACCATCGAGACAGTCAGCGGCTGCGCTGACGACCTGGCCGGAGCGGGCGCCCGCGTGCGCTCCATGCCGCAAGACGTCACCGACGCGGTCAAGTGGTGACGTACATTCGCGGCCGTCGTTCGCAACAAACAAAAGCCGCCGTATATGACCGCCGTCACCGCGCGCACGCATGTCCGCATTCTGGCGGACGAGCTGGGAACTCCAGGTCGGAAATCCGCCAGGTGAAACCCATCCCGCTCACCACATGAAGCAGCGGGATCAGCCGCCACGCCCCGCCCGGCGACCCGCCACCCGCAAGGCCTACCCGGGACAGGGTACTACGATGAGCTTGGCGATCCATGGGGAATGCCCCCCGAAAGCTTCGAGCGTGACGAGGGGGATCCACTGGGCCTTGGGGGGGGCCCGACAACGATGAAGACCGACAAGCCTCATCCACCAAATTGTCACGACTGCAATGGTCACGACGCGGATGGCGATAGTCCACCTCCACGTCCTGAGAGGCACATGACGAAAGTCACCCATGAGGAGAAAGTTAACCAAGACTCTATCTCAGGCGCCACACTGCGACCAACGCGGGATTACACAAGGGCGGACCAGACGGGAGCCAGTGCGTACCCGTCCGTCTCCCCCGACACAGGCAGCCACACCCCAGTGCACAACTGCGACAACAGCGCAATCCGTTGGGGAAAATACTTGCGCATCGTATGCGAGGGGTCGCGGATCGTCTCTCACGGGCCACGTCCGTCGCCCCAGTCTGCTGGGCTTGCCAGCGCCGTCGCGCACCCAATCCCCCAACGCACTGCTTTCTGCCACTGGCCAGATCCCCCGCACCAACGGGAACGAGGACCAAAGACCCTAATACCACCCACAAAGGTGTAGGCGCCCGAGCGACACCGGTGAAGCGTACCGATCGGAAGACTGCCGTCTCGCAGCGCTTCAATACGGCCAAACCACACGCGCCCAAATCCGGTGTCTTTTGTTTCGGGGGTGCTGAAAGTACACGACACGTCCTTATCACCACGTCGCGGTCTCGCTTTGCACCCTGGGTCCTCGTTGACCACGCCAGGCGCCAAGGATTGTCCACTCATGCAATTCACGCGACCCCGGTCGCCACAATAAATGGGCGCAGCGGGCGCGAGTACCCCTCACGCCTGGACGGACGCTCCGCCCGAACGGTTGCGCTCTCCCTGTTCCTGTCCCTTTGTCCCTCGCTCTCCGCCCCTCCCTTTTGCTCCCTTTCTGTCTCTCCCTCTCTCTCCTCCCCTCCCTTCCCCGCCCCCCATCCCTGTCCATTGGGTGCCCGCAGGAACCCACTAGCACCACTCGAACATATGTTCAGCAGAATGTTTGCTGGTGGGCTCTGGCCGAAGGACCTGTCCCGTGCCAAAAGACGCACCAGGGGACAAATATCCGAATGTATAAATATCGTTTGGCGAGTTGGCCATTTCCGCTTCCGTTTCTCCGTCATAATCCATTTCCTTCTCCTCTTCGTCTTCCTCCTCCTCCTCCTCCTGATTGCCATCCTACTCCTTGTCTCCCTCCTCCTCCTCATCTTGCTCCTCCTGTTCCTGCTCCTCCTCCTCCTCCTCCTCCTCCTCGTTCTCCTCCTTCTATTCCTCCTCCTCCGTGCGAGGAGGCACTGGAGTGTCAAATCCAATTCCTTTCCTCGCTTCCAAATATCCGATGCCGTGACTTGAGCGAAAAAAGTGAACGGGTCTTACGCGCAATGACATAGCGACCTCAAGCGGTGGTTTACGCGGGCCGGCAACGCGGCACGCTACGTTGGAGACGAAGGCATTTGCGCGTGACTTTACGCGGGCAACTTCTGCGCGAATGTCCGCGCAATCGAACCCGTACTCCCGCGTCGCTTCTTTGTATCGGTGCGCGGGCCCCCGCGGAACCCCGACCCCCTCTCCGAAGCCCGTCTCTCGCCCGTGATCCAGATGGTTTCTGGACGGCCCCGGTAAGCCCAGGAGCGGCTGCCCCGGGCGCCGAAGGCAAGCAAACGCCCCCCCAAAGATCTTTCAAAGACGCCCAGACGTCTGCTCACGTCCAATCGAATCCATGACCGTCACAAGAATGTTGTTCCCACCATTTGTTTCACAAGGGTCTAGGCTTCCCTTGGCGCCTGGGGCCGCATGAACGGCCCGCCGCCAGGCAGCGCCACTCAGCGCGCGCGGAAGCGCACGCGGGCAGTAGCTCATTCTGCTGATGGGGGCTCTGGACAGGGACTCTGGGCCCAGAGTCCCCTTGCGCAAAACATTGTCTCAAAGAGCGACCAAGGACCAGACCCGACCCGCCGGGCGCAGGCCCGCAAACATCGCAGCCGCAGCGCTCTCCAGGGAACCCAGTAAGGGCCATTCGCTCATCGACCTGACAAGGTGGGGGCTCCATCAACCTCGGGCTTCTGCTTGGGGAGGGGGAGGGAGGGGAAGGGGAAGGGGGAGGAGGGGGAGGAGGGGGAGGAGGAGGAGAGGGAGGAGGAGGAGAGGAGGAGGAGGAGGAGAGGAGGAGGAGGAGGAGGAGGAGGAGGAGGAGGAGGAAGGAGGAGGAGGAGGAGGAGGAGGAGGAGGAGGAGGGGCCCCACTCCCCCGCCCCGACGGGTCCTGCTTGCCCTGCGAAATCTGCTGCAAGGCGGCAATGGAAGCCCTGGTGTCCTCTCCGCCGCGCCGGGGCGCCGGGGCGGCGCGGGCGGCCCGCGCCTGCTCGTTCCCCCTTCTCCGCCAGCCCCTCCCTTTTCTGACTTTGGCCAGATTCAGACGGTGTGAAAGCGCAGCAGCATGCAGAGAACGAGGCCGACTTAGTCGCGGCGGCCTGCACGCTGGACCTAGGCGAGTCAAAGGGAAATGAGACAGGCAAAATCAAACACATAGAAATGTAAAGGTCCGCTGAGGCATAGTATGCGCTCACCTGGTCCGAGAGGGGGTGATGAACGTGAGAGCGATCCATCGATCCCACTCCTGTTCCTCCTCCTGCTGCTCCCTCCCACCTCCTCATCCTGCTGATGCTACTCCTGCTCCTCCTCGCGGACTCGTGTCCGCTCGCCCTCCCTACGCACCACCCCCATGGCGCCGGTAGGCGAAGGCTGCGAACCTCCCCCAGGCGCCCGCCCCCGCCGGCTCGCCCGCGCCCCCACCGCCCGCCGCCGCCGCCCTGCTGCCGCTGCCACCTGGCGCCCCTGCAGCCCGTCCTCTATCCTCGCCCGCTCTTCTCTCAATCCTCCTGCCTCACTCCTCCCTGACTCCTGGGCCTCCTCATTTTTTCCTATCACCTCGCTCCCTGCTGCTGCCGCTCCTCCTCATCCTCCTCCCTATTCTCACTTCCTCCCCTCTTCGCCCCTCCTCCTGCTCCTGCTTCTCCTTCTTCCTTCCTCCCTCCTTCGTCCAACCTCGTCCTCCTCCTCCTCCTCCTCGTCCTCCTCCCTTCCCCATCCTCCCTCCTCCCGCTTCCCGCCTCCCTCCTCCTCCTCCTCCTCCTCTCCTCCTCCTCCTCCTCCTCCTCCTCCTCCTCCTCTGTCTCCAAGCAGGCCAGAGGGAGAACCGAAAGAGCTTGGGGTGGGAGGCGGGGAGAGAAGGATGTAGGGATGGAAAAAGGGGGAGAGGATGGGAGAGGATCGACGGAGGGGAAGTGGAGAATGTGTAGGATGGAGGGGGTTGAACGAGGAAGGGATTTATCTAGATCCACCGCCTGGGGTGCTTCGATATTCGGGGACTTTGGGGAGGGATGAAGGGTGCCTATGGCACGCACGACGTCTTTCAACCTGTGCGTGATGTTCACTCGCATTTTGCACTGAAGCCTGGCACGTCTCCAGCA